ATATTTATAAGTATAAACAAAGGTAAAATAAATAAATAAAGAACCGAAAACAAAACAAAAAACAATAGAACGAGACCGACCCATTAAGGAGAAGCCTGACACGAGAGCACACTAGGTCTAGCTATAAGCGAGACATAGCGCTTGCCCCCCTACGAGGGAACTTTGCCTTGCATGGGGACATGGTCTACTCCAACATTGTTATGTCGTATAATGGATGCCTTTTCCATCGAAATGGCTTTGATTTTATTTTTATTTTTATTTTTTCTTGGTGTTCCATTTTGTTACTTTTTCATATTTTGATTTCTAATTTCTAGTTTTTTTTTGTGGAGTTACGTGAGACCACACCTTTTCTCTCCCAAGGGATCACACTTGTGCTTTTGAAGTGTAGTACATGTTTTTTAGGGGTAAGTGTAGTATATGTGCGCTTCACGCCGGAGCACTATCACAGTTGTACTTCACCCTTTGTGGGAGCACGTGTAAGTACACATAGGGAGCACATGGTGATCCAAGTGGGGAGCATACATTAGTGTTTGTTGGATGTACAGTTGGAAGCACATATGATAATACTTCTTGGAAGTACAAATTGAGGAGCATAAGGTAGTATTAGATGGGAGTAACGGATTAGTTGAGATTAACAACACGGGTTAATGTAATTGAGAGCATGAATGGTCGTACTATTTGGAAGAACAAATTGTGGAGCACGAGCTAGTTAACGTTGGGAACATATATTTGCTCTAAGAAAGTTCATTGAAACTTATCAGCATGAGATCTAGTTTCAAAAATTTTAACATGCGAAACACAATGTAAAAACAATTCGTAATTTAGACACGTGTTTCAAGATATATTTCATTTTGAAAAGAAAATGAATCTACAAAGAAAACACAAATAAGCCAGCCATCAGATATGGAAGGAAAGATTAGCAGAACTCTCAGATTGCAACAAAGTTTTTTTCTAACGGCATCTCAGATTGCAAGAAGTGGCGTACCACAATTGTCCCATCAGAAAAGATAAAAATTGATCTTTGCAAGAACGACCCTTAATTAGTGATATTAATTTACCGCTTGCTGTAGAGAACGGTACTCCAAATCCATTCTGCGCATGGGGCGAACCAGCATTCTAAGCATGATACCCCTAGTTCTTATGATTTTATTGTCTTTTTTTTAATGTTTTCTTTTTATCAGTTTTTTTCGATTTGCTTCGTCGTCTCTTTTCCTTTTGTTTGTTTATCTTACGATTTTTTTTGTTTATGTTTCTCTTCTTTTTGAGCCCCCCCCCCCTTCTATTTCCTTTCTTATTTCTATTTTAAAATTCATATATATTCTTATAAGTTATTTAATATTTTAAATTCATGTAATTATTCTAAAGTATGTCTAAAACAATTTAAAAAATTAACCTTATTATTCATAAAATATTTCAGAATTTTATGAATAATGCTTTGGAAAACACAAAATCTTTCGAATTTTATGACTACTTTTTAAAATTCGTCAACTTTTTTAAAAATTCTTGAATATATATTTTAAAATATTTTTTAAATTTTATGCATTTTTTAAAATTGATGATAGAAAAATTATGTCCTCAATATTTTTTTAGTTCACGAACTTTTTCAAAATCGTAAAAGAACTAGTATCTGATTTTATTTCCGAAGGAAAATCCATTTTTTTTCTTCTGGTCGTTCACTAAGAGGAGCGAGCGGTTAAAAAAGGACAGTTGCAGGCAGAAGGAGCGAGTGAGCGCCATTTAGGTCTGGGTTGGCCCATGAACGCGCCGCAACGCATTTTTTAAAATTGATGATAGAAAAATTATGTCCTCAATATTTTTTTAGTTCATGAACTTTTTCAAAATCGTAAAAGAACTAGTATCTGATTTTATTTCCGAAGGAAAATCCATTTTTTTCTTCTGGTCGTTCACTAAGAGGAGCGAGCGGTTAAAAAAGGACAGTTGCAGGCAGAAGGAGCGAGTGAGCGCCATTTAGGTCTGGGTTGGCCCATGAACGCGCCGCTACGCCTTCAGCGCCGCAGAACGTAATGGCCGCTCGCGGCAGCGTCTTCTGGGCTGGCCCATGAACGCGCATAGCAGAGCAAAACAACTCCCCAAAAAGTGTTTGCACGCGGAATCGAGCCCATCCATGCCGTCGCACGCCTGTACTCGTCAGGCTACCACTCGAGCTACTACAAGCTAGTCACTATGTACATCGCTCATATAAGAACAATAGTATACGCGCTATTTATTGCACAAAACGTGATTTTCTTTCAATTTGAAGCAAAAGTTTGATAGTTCACAGATGTCAAAACAAAGTTCACGATCATGTAAAAAAGTTCACAAATTTGAAAAAAGTTCATCTATTTTTTTAAAGCTCATCAAATTTGAAAAAGTTCATCGATTATGAAAAAAGTTCATCAATTTTGGAAAAAGTTCACAAATTTGAAAAAAATTCATCAATTTAAAACAAGGTTCATTGAATTTTTTAAAAATTCAACAATTATGAAAAAAGTTCATCAACTTTGAAAAGAAGTTCATCAATTCTGAAAAAACTACAATTTTCATTGATTTCAGAAAAAAAGTTCACAAAATTTGATAAAAGGAAAAATCGAAAAAGAAAAGGAAAAAAGGAAAAAAGAAAATAAAAAGGAAAAGAAAAGAAAGTATAAGAGGAAGGAAAGGGAGAAGTTATCCGCTCAGGCTTTTTGTGGTTGGGTGGTCAGTGCTGTTTGTAGAGTATGTGAGATCCTGGGTTAGAGTATGTGAGATCTTGGGTTCGATTCTCCATGGTGCGCTCATTTTTTTCGTTAAAAAAAAGTGAAACGGGCCAGCCCAGCTCGCAGGAGGGACGTGTGCTTCAGGCGAAATGGTCTATAACGGGTGCCTAAAGCGCCAAATAGGAGATGCCGCGCTATTGCATAATCCAGTCTCGGACTCAGCACCAATTTACGATGAGCAACCACCACACCAAATGGCTCCATGGTTTGTAAGCATGGGCTAATCGAAGTTGCTCACATACACGAGCATATATTCGCCCCTATCCCTATAAACACACATACGCACATCCTATCCCTATGAGCACCTTCAAGAGGCTGAGCCAGCATAACATCTTGATCTTCTATGAAGTCACCATACGCGCCTCGCTGTCGGTGGAACGTCTTCTCCCACTGAACAAATATCGCCGGAAGCCTGGAATAAATCCAGGAATAATACGAGCACCAATGTCAAGTTTATGACTTGAACCCTGGTGGGATGGGGATATCATTGTTCTCTTAACCATCTAGCCATAGGTTGGTTCGTAGTGTCCAAACTTATTGAAAGTAAAACTAGAAAAGATGCACAAACTGAGGACAAAACATAACATAAAAATAAAAAATGATTTCCATCAAGCAAATAAATACATATGCTCAAATGAAGCTAGTGCTTCCTTCACAAAAAACATGTAAACTAGTAAGCAAGAGTTGAAACACAAGGATATCAAAAAGTTGAATAACATGTGAAGGAGCAACACACTATAATTATAACTGAAAAGTCACACAGGAGAACTCCCAAGTTTCCCTTCTTTTTTAATGTGCTACAAGATGAAGAAGTGTAACTTGACATGTATCCCTTCTCTTATCTGTATTATCATTAGATATATGAATTAGTTTACAAGTGAGAATGAAAAATTTAAGGCAAGGGACAATGAAACAAGTTGAAACATGAAGGCAACTCTAATATCTATTAATCAAAGACGTACCAGACCAGGATTTGGCCAAAGCTAAACAAAAAAAATGTAATTCAAATTGGTTCTTATTGAGTTCGATTTGCAATCTAGCATGCAACTAAGCATTGTCTGCTCTTGACCATAAAAAGAGGTAAAGCTTAGCACCAACATGCTTAACTATCAATCTAACTACCCCGACTACATAATTTCTTATCCTATCTTCAACCTGCCCAAAAGGACAATAGAAAACCACCTTGAGCTAGCACATCCGAATATGCACACAACCATGCATCATACATGCCCGATGCATCCACACAACCTCCTCCTCCATCTTCTCCTCCAACTGGTGCCATTGCTCATCATGCCTGCATACACATCGAACTGCTCCTTGTCATGTAACATTTGCATCAACACTATGATTGTCGATGCCTATGCCAAGCCCAACCTCGTCACCCATGTATGCAGCATGTTAGCCATGAACGACCGTTGTTGCACTCACCCTTACCTATTCGCAGTGCCTCTAATAAATTTGGAGCCGCATGCGTCCTTACCCATCATGATACACTCTACTTCAATGACAGATATATGAGAAAAGATATACGGGAAGGACCCAATGTGAGACGGAAGTGAGAGGAAAGAGTGCTTACGGTCGCGACCACCGCCTATACAGTACTCTCGTTTGGCTGTTGCCACCAGGAAAGAAAATTCAAAGAGGACAAAGCCAGAGCACACATAATCGGATGATGTTGGATTGGCCTCGACGGACACTTCCTCGTCCGGCGGCTCCGTCTATCGCTCCTTTGCCTCCACAGGGTCCACCCCCTCCTTCCTCTCTCTCTCGAGCCAAATTGCTATAAACCCGAGTTTTAAGTTCAAGTCCTGGACGCCTTATTTAGGAGAGGAGTTAGGGAAGACGGTCAGGAATGCAGAGTCTAATTCCGATTCTCCACCTTCAGAACCGTCTCCTGCTACGGGGTGGCGGCGATGGCACTTCGAGCAGTAGCGCAGGAAAGAGAGAGGATGACTAAGGCTCACAAGAGCATGCATTTTTTTCCAGAATTTTTACTGAGGGTTTTCTTTAGTTTTTAGCGTGCAATTCATGTGCGGGGAAGGGGGGCAGTAATGGGGGAGATGAAACAGAAAAAATGCCTCATTTGATACATATGATAGGAATACCATGGGAGTAGAAAAATAGTGTGATAACATGCATCTCACTTCCTATAAAAAAGAAAAATATTATTGAGTCATGTGATACCAATTTCTTTATTGGGTCTAGGCTAATATATTTTTCCTTTGATATGCGAATGATTGCTTCCTATCCTAGGAATCCATTCCCATGAATCAAAGGGTTCAAAGGAATTTTCCTACAAAATTCATATCCTTCTGAATCCCTGCAAAATTTATGCGAACAAAAGAAGAAGGCCTAACGGTTGACGGTAAAGATAACCAATTCCATCCAAGACCAGAAGTTGTACTGGTATAAGCAACCAATTCTATCACATGTCATCACATTTCCCATTCACTTACACATCATCAGATTAAAAAAAAACCTCATGTCATGACAATTGTTAATAAACAAGTATGGAATATGATACACCAAACACTCTACCATTCCTTCCTACAGACCGAGCCGGTCTACAGGCCCGGCCCTGACCCAGCCCGCACAAAAACCACCGGGCCTTCGTGTGAGCTCAGTCGGACATGTCGTGCTCGTTCCAGCACAGCAGCATCGAGACACACCGCCGGAGGATGTACAGCCTCGTCCTCTGCTGCTTCAGAACAGCATGGCACCGGGACCGGAGCCCACCGATGCCACTGCCAGCGGCCTGTTTCCTCCGGCGCTGCAGCTGCGGTTGGGACCGCGTGCTGTCGTCGTTGGCCTCAGCCGGCGTTGAGAGGTGGTGGTACGCCGAGCAGACGGACACCGAAGCTGAAGCGGCCAGTTCCATGGATGCGATTTCGAAGGAGAAAACGAACTTGTCACGGGAGAACAACTGTAGTAGTAGAGCAGAGGATATAGCGTGGTGTGGCGAACCTGGAGAGGGGCCTGTGTTTTATATGGCCCGAGCCGAACCCACACGATTACGACGGCTCGTTATTGTAAGCCGACATTGATAGGTGTAATGACGGTTCTACCCCACCCTCGGTTTAGTTTCTCTAATCCGTCCAGCCCCCTAACCAACGGATTGAGAACACTAGACGGACTTGTTTGTTCTTCTTGGTGTTGTTTAAGTATGATTTATAAACTCAAAAAAGTATGATTATATTACTTGTGACATAGTACATCTTTTGTTTCTTCTCATCACTAATTTATGGATGCTTCTGTCAGTTGGAATTTATGATTCTATTACATTACTGCAATGATTTGGAGACGTTTGTCTGCACTCGGCACTAATATGTCTGTAGTACAGATGATTATTGATTAGTGCGCTAGCTAATGGTGACGTTCGGCTAGCTCAAGTACGTGGATAGAGTAGAAAAACAGGGTGCCTGACTCGGATCTGATGCAGGGTCATGCATATTGAAAGAAAAATATGGTCACATCACCAATCACCACTTAAGTTGAAAACATGATGCTGTTGCGGCGTATGATCTACAGCCTGGAGGTGATTAAAATAGAAAAAGATTTGGAACACATAGGCGCTCTGTCCCTCAATTATGGGTGCTGTGAAGGTGGTCTTAATCAAAAGTAAGCAATGGTACTATTACATGTTTTTTTTTTGTTAATAATAGGCTGGATTTATGATTCTTTTTAGCTCTGTTTCATTTTGTTGTTTTATCAGACCATGGATTTGTTGGCTGTGTGCATCTGATTATGCAGAGGCTGAACGTTTTTTTGATGCGACTGTATCATCTTGATAACTCAATTCAATGAAATGCCCTTTATTGAAAAATGTAACTCTTGGATGTGTCGTAGGAGGTAGCAGGAATTTAGTCTCTTGTAGGAGTATCTCGCTCCTGATTTGTGTTTGCTACTACTCCTCCGCCCCAAAAAAACTTTTCTTAGAGATATAGATGTATTTAGATACGTTTTAGTGTCAGATACATCCATCTTGATAAATTTGAGATAAACTTTTTAAGGCGAAGGTAGTATATAGTTTGAGCATTGCTATATGTACAATGAGTTTTTGTACAGACAGTCGTACGGCACTACTCCATCACCTTGGATTGAATGGCCAGATTATGATTGATGCAGGATTTATTTTTTATTTTTTTAAAAATGAAGGACCCCGGCCTCTGCATCTAGACGATGCATGCAGCCACTTTATTAATTATTCACACAAGATTTTTACAAAGTCATACAGTAGTAAGACTGAAGCCACCGTCTAGGCAACAAAAGTGTCGCTACTCATATCCAAATGATGAAGGGATGTTGATAGTCTGGACCTAGTACCAAACAGACCTTGCAGCCAAACCTAACATCTAAGACCTGAGATCCCAACCAGGACGCCTGCCGGGTATGGGGCACTCACCAGTCCGGCGCACTCCTCAACCAGGACGCCTGCCGGGTATGAGGCTGCCGCAGCTACCTGCCACCAATCCATCATCAGTGATGTACTGTTGCATCTACCTTGCTCGGCCTACCTGTCGTCGACGCCACCACGATGCCTGACAACGCCACCATCCTACGCGAGTCCATCTCCGCTCATCGGGCGCCGAGTCTCCACTGCGCCAAGCGGCCGAGATCCGCCACTATAAATGGGCAAGATGAAACATCGTCCTTCCTCTTGTCCCCTCCAGCCAGCACTTGCTCCAAAACAATGCTCTCAGGAGGGAGAACGACACCGAAAGCGTCATCATCGTCCGATCCGGTAGACCCAGATCTAGGGTTTCCCTAGGAACATCCGGATCAGGTTGACGTGACCTGCAACGACGACGCCTCGAGAAGGGAACGACATACGAGACACCGCCATCGTCCGCTAAGACCGCAGTTAGGCGCAATTTTCACCGGAAACCACGTAGTCCCAATCTCTCTCGGCTGGCTGGAACAGAGCGAAGCCTCACCACGAAGACGTACACCGCCGTTGGTACTCCGGCGGAGATTCGTCATCTCCTTATCGATCCCTCCACGCGCCGCCGGTCGGCGCAAGGCCACCCCGCGGCGGATCCGATCGGGACGTTGGATCCGCAGCCACTGCCGTCATCATCTTCGCACAGATCAGCCAACCCCGCCAGATGGGGCGCTGCCACCGCCGCCGTCCATCTCAGGGCCGCCGCTCCGCCGACCATGGAACTGCGACGACTACCGCGTGGCATAGGGTCGCCGCCCTCGGACTTCCATGAGAGGTGCCGCCCGTGCCGCCTCAGATGGAATCCTGCAGCCTCCGCCCGCCCAGGTGCCTTTGTCGCCAGGCCCGCCGCCACCGCGGCCCATGCCAGCGGCAGCGGCAGCAAGAGGAGGCGCGAGGGGTGGCCTACGGCGCTAGGGTTGGGGGGCCCCTGGCGTCGCCCAAGGGAGGCGACGCGAGGGGAGGGGATGCACACAGGATTGTAGTATTGTACAGAGTTCATACTGGAAATGTATGATGCAGAGCAATATTAATATAGTTTAGGCAGCTGAATGATCTTCTTGGTGTAAATATCCTTAATTAGAAACCCTTATTTTCTACACTATGAGAACAACATCATTGTTTGAGTCCATGCGAGTATTTCTTTTCTAGAACGGATGTTCATTCTTCCTCGCAAAGTAGGAAAAATAAAATATGAGTATTGTTTTTATATAATTTATTTTAAAGAATAGGCATATGTTTGACTTTATAGATAAACTCATGTTGGCAACGTCAAACAACATTCAAATGATAGTACATAACCAAGTTTTTAAAAGGTACACACAAGCTCACGACAGGATCCCCGGGTAGGCCCATGACAAGGATTTAGCCCAGCTAGGCCCACAATCCTAGTCTTCATGAGGAGAATCACTCGGTTGGGTCTGCCTTGATAAAGTCCATTAGCTGAACACCATAAAGCCCATCCGACTAAATAACGTCCATCTGAGTGGACCAAGACATGGTCAATCAAGACGGACGTTACCCGCGACACCATTAAGATGATTCTTGTGATGACCTGATAATGACACGAGTAACTACCATCATTATGATCGTTATTACTCCCATCATTATGATCGTTATTACATCACGACTCATAATAGCTCATGTAACTCCACCTTCTAACCGTATATATGGTGAGAAGGGCGTGAAACCTAGACAAGTTCACTCAAGTCTATAAGTTGGACAAATCCTTTTTGATCACTCGGCTCACACAAGAGGGAAAACATCCAGGCAGGAGTAGGGTATTACCCCTAGAACAGGGGCCCAAACCTAAGTAAAACTTCAACTGTGTGAAATCCCATACCTAGATCTTCTAGGTGTGTCTTGGCTCAGTAAAATCCTTGAATCCTGAACATTATCATGAAATCCCCACGATAGTTGACGCCCACAGTGGACAAGCATGCGTTGGAGTGATGGTCCAGGCGGGATCATCTCCGGTCATCGGTGGCGGGCCTAGGGCCGAGCATTTTGTGTGTTTAGGCACACTACAATTCGACACTAGCCATGCGTCTTAGTATTCTTCCTCTACCGTACTTCCCATGATTGTTGCAACATTTAGTGGTAGCATGCACTTCGTTGTAAATTGCTCCAGAGTCATGTGCTTGTAGTTTTCCACTCCCTATCGGCAAGTGAACGTTTGTCTCGGGCATGCACCAGGATCTGTATCTCCAGTAGCCACTGGCAATGCTATTTCTCAGCTTGTCGGTATGGTCAACTCTGACTCTATTCTACTCTAGAGGTCTCGTTAGGAGCTCGCTCCAAATCCAACTGCCACCATGGAGGGAAGTTTCAGCTTCTTCCTTCTCGCACCGGTGCCGGGATTTTAAGTAACACGTCGACCATACACCCACATGTAATAATCACCGGCAATTGGAGTAACATGACCGCAAACCATCCTCCCATTAATGACACAGCCGCTCCCTCGGATTCATGAGGTGGCTGTTTAGATGGACGCCATGCGACATCATCCTCTGCTATAAAAGCCTGATAGTGAAGCGTCCCAACCCTAGCCGCCGCCTCACCCTTCCTTAACGTCTCCTCCCTTAGCTATCTTCTCCCCTCTCCGTCACAACGCCACCGCGATGGAGGGACACAACCTATTGGCTGAACCACCCATCCCAATCATGGCGCATTGATGGTATGCGAATTCCCCACATGGTGCACGAGAAGCGGTAGCCATCACTTCTTCCCCCCATAGCGGCTAGTGATGATGGTCGCGGGGGATCTGCCATTCCACATGGTAGTGGGCGACGTCGGTCTAGCGCCTCGGGCGCCATCATAACTGTTAATGACCTTGTACCCACCAACTGGCCCTGTTACTCCCACCATCTCCTTGTCCCCAAGCCCGAGAGGAAGCCCGAGGACCCGGTCGTCGCCATGTTGCGGCCCTCCGCCCTCTAAGCGCACGCAAGCCACCATGATGTGGAGAGCATCCATCGGGATTTTTTCCCGCAGCCACCGACGAGGAGTAGTTGCGGCTCGTGGCAGCCACTCATGGGTACGACTCCAATGCCTTCTTGGACAGTCTCTTAGAGAGGACAAGGATGACGACTAGACGACATCGGAGGTGGTGGTACCATAGGTAGTAGTGCATAGCAATGTTGAATAGCGACATTGCAAATTTGAAAATGTCGTTTAACGACAATTGAAGTCGCAAAAAATATGTAATGCGATGACTTTAGGCCACTAATATAAGTTTATCGGTTTTGTTGATGATTTGAACTGGTCTGGTATGATTAAATGTACCTAAATTGAACATAGAAAATTTGAAGCAATTTAAGAAAAGAAAAGAACAAATAAATAGAAAATATATGAAGGACACAATATGGTGACTTTGTGTTTGTACACGACCACGACAACCTTCAAATGAATATGGAGTGCGCGACATATGCCATATGGCG